GCAGGAAAGCTGACGTTTTGGGCCTAGAACCCTCTTCAGAAAATTTTCTGAAGAAGGGTCTAGGCCCGAAATGTCAGCTTTCCTGCTCCTCTAATGCTGCTTGGCCTGCTGTGTTCATCCAGCTCTACATCTTGTTATCTCAGATTCTCCAGCGTCTGCAGTTCCTACTATCTCAAAGAGAGATTATCATTTGTTTTTAACCATGAAAATTGAATTAATTAATTTGGAGTAAACAAACTGCTTGGAATGCCAAACCTGTGATCACAAAGTCTATGATCAAATTTCCTAATATCACAGCAATGCTTCTGTTCCAGAAACCATTCCAGAATACAAATATTAGGCACTTTTAGTCAGTCAGATAAGTTATGGCCCTGGCGTCAATCAAGGCTGAGCATTTGAGACATTTGCTTTTTAAGATCCTGGTATAAAAATTGAGCTACCGCTGGCAACTGTGTCCTTGTTCCTCTCGTGTCGAAGGTTATAAAGTATATTTCACATTTTTGGAATTGCAGAGACCAAGTTGTGCCACCGCCCCTCATCAGAAGCATGTTCTCCAGTGCCACCTCACTGCAACCTCAGGATTATGTCTTCAGTAAAAATTGCACCCTATAACAACGCTAATCCAGAACTGAATACTTCTTTTGAAATTTTTTTTTGTTAATCATGCCAGTTGGAAGATATTGTACCAATTTTGTTGTGCAGTGATGTGGTACTTTTGAAGAAGCCCTGTCTTCTCATCATTTTCATTGTCATGTTCATGACCACTGACTTGCTCTTTTTTCCAGGAAAAAAAAATGCTTAAATTCTCACGTTCAGTCCTCAAATCAAAAAAAAATCTACATTCCCAATTAGTAAAACAGAATTTAAATTGTACTGTAAATCAGTGGCCCTGATGTGCATGGTTGTAGATTTTTGTGCTTTAATCTATCATTATTGTGAGCTGCCTTCTGAGTCAGGAGAGGGATAAATTTTGTGGGATTCTTCTTTAGGTTCCTACTAGATTTCAACTGAGGGAGAACTGGATTATTTAAGTTTCAGGTTTAGTATTGGGAAATTGTTAGCTTTTGATAAATCATAAGCTTAGTTAAGACAGGATAGATATTGTTGGTTGTGTGTGTAGCTAGCTGCCACTTGCTGTCAAGGCAAATGTAAGAATAATGACCTCTTCCCGGCATACCAATTTGTAACTATGGAACTAAGCCATTGTGCTCCATAAAAACCAAAGAATGTAGCCGTAGAAATGGGCCATTTAGCCCATTTGGTAAGATGATAATTCATCTGACAATTATCAATTTTACTTCCCTGCCTTTTCACCATATCCCTTCATTACTGACTAAAAATCTTTCTCAGCTGTGAATTTGCACTACAAATCAGCTTCTGTAGCCCTCTTCAGTAAGGGATTCCACAGACTCTCAACCTTCTGAGAGAAAAAAATTTCTTCCCATCTCTGTCTTAAATGGACGACCGCTAATTTTCAGATTACACCCTGACGCATTAGATTCTCCAACAAGGGGAAGCAACTTTTCCACATCTCCCTGTCAAGTTCCCCAAGAATTTTGTATACTTCAACAAGGTCACTTCTCATTGTCTTAAATGAGTACAGGCTCAACCTCTTCTCCGTATCTTGGATCAGCCCAGTTAACTTTCTCTGGAAAGCCTCCAATGCCAGTATATCTTCCCTTAGATAAGTGTTCACAGTATTCCTTGTATAGTTCTAACAAGATCTTCCAGCCTAGCAAGAAGGCAGCACCTCTAGAAGGGGATGGATTGGCAGTCTTTTCTGAGGACCCTAAACCACTGAATAGAATGATCTTGAGTCAAAGGAATTAGTTGAGCAGCTCTTGATAACCAAACTTAAATCAAGTATAGAGCTTTAATTTGTTTTTTGTGAGGCTGAGTCACTCTAGATAATTGTATTTTTTTTTAGTTACATGATTAATTTTCTTCTTCACAGGTACAGACAACAGTGGAGTGGCAGGTCTGTGTATTTTCATTCTGTTTTTGAGGCATGTGGTACATTGCAATAGTTTCTCATTTATTGTTTCCATTACTCATAAGATCAGGTGGTGGTGGCACATTTCTGAAGTAGACTGCAAATACCTTGATTACTGTGGGTGGCATTGAAAATAACGCAACAATCTCTGCATCCACTAATCAATTGACTTTATGGATTTGTTGAAATATTCTTCAGCTCAGGATGTGCAGCAAGTCATTTGCTGTATGTCCTGTAGTTCATTGTTGCCTTTGCAATTCTCTGATTGGCCTTTAGTTGTGAAGACATTCCGAAAGGCTTAAATTTGTTTTCTTGGGTAAAATCTCCGCAACTTTATTTTGACACAACTAGCTCCCTGTCACATCTTTAACTTCGACATAGCATTAAGCAACTTAAGCTTTTTAAGCTCTTAATATTTCTCTGTTGATCATGGTTAATCTCATTGACTGACATTTCTCAAAACTTAAGACCTACGTTTTTCCATTCATCAACTTGATTTCCAAAAACTGTCACTGACTGAATTGTAAATTTGAGGCTTGCACAACAGGTACCTTGTACTTCCTTTGTTAGAGACCTGGCAATGTGGCAAAGGGCAGTGTTCTTTCCACATTGTTTCCTGGGTCTCTCAAATTATTTGAAAATCTGCATTAGTTTTATAATGTATGTCCCTGTAACCAACTACTGCAATAAAAGTTTTTAGTAGCTGAGGGTAATCAGAAACTGTTTCTGATACACTAATTAATATTTTTTATTTTACATAATTTACCAGTTGTGTGGAGCTTTATAGAACAGTAGTGGTGATTCTAAACTAATTAAAATAAATACAAGGAATCAGACAATAAACCAGTTCTTGTACATTGGATTTTGCATCTCTCCTAAGACCATAAGAAATAGGAACAATGTGGCCAATTGGCTCCTCAAGACTGCTCCACCATTTAAGCGGTCATAGCTGATCTGACATTCCTTGCATCCACTTTCTTGAGTTTTTCCCATAACCCTTGATTCCCCGACTGATGAAGAATCTATCTATCTCGGCTTTAAATATACACAGGGACTCAGCCCCCATGGCTTTCTGTGGCAAGGGTTTCCAAAACCACTCAACCCTCTGAGAGAAGAAATTCCTCCTCTTCTCACTCTTAAATTGGCATCCCTTTACTTTGAGACTGTGCACTCTGGTCCTAGACTCTCCCGTGAGGGAAGATTCCTCTCGGCATTTACCTTGTCAAGCCCCTTAAGATGATCTCTCATTCTTCTCAACTCCAGTGAATAGAGTTCCAACCTGTTTAGCCTTTGCTCATAAGACAATCCCTCCATACCATTGATCATCCTAGTGAACCTTCTCTGAAGTGCCACCAATGAAATGATCTCTTCCCTTAAATAGTGGGACCAAAACTGCTCTCAGTACTTTAGGTGTGGTCTCGCCAGCACCTTGTGCAGCTGCAGTAAGATTTCCCTACTCTTATACTCCGACCCCCTTGAAATAAGGGCCCACATTCCATTAGCCTTCCTGACTACCTGCTGTGCTAGCTCTCTGTGTTTTGTGCACAAGTAACCCCAAATCCCACTGTTGCAGCTTTCTGCAGTTTTTCTCCATATAAATAATATTCTGTTCTTTTGTTCTCCCTTCCAAAATGAATGATTTCACATTTTCCCACCTTATAATATCCTCCATTTGTCAACTTCTTGATCAATTACTCAACCTATCAATATCTTTCTGTAAACTCTCAGCCTGCCTTTCCACCTATTTTTGTGTTGTCTATAAATTTGGTTAGTTACATTCACTTCCTTCCTCCACATTTATTAATATGTATTGTAAACAGTTGTGGTCCCAGCACTGATCCCTGTGGAACCCCACTGATCACAGGTCACTGACCTGAAAAAGAATCCCTTATCCCCACTGGCTGTTTCCTGCCCATGAGCCAATTCTCTATCCACACAATTGCTGAATAATTTGTGATATGTGGTCTATAATGTGTTCCTGAACAGATTTTAGCTTGTTTCATTTTTTACAGTTTAGAATTAGAATTAGGTTTCATTTCACATTTACTCAAGTGCAGGGATTTATGAGTACAGTGAAAAGTGTAGAAAGTTGCCATTTCTGGCACCATCTTAGGTACAATGATATCTAGGACAAAATCTTAGATAAAAGTTCGAAAAATTTTTGAAACGTTAAAAGTTCAGCATTACAGTCCTTCTAAAGCAGAGAAAGATAGAAAGAAAATAAAAGCAGATGGAGCAAACGAGTCTGCAGTGGGCTTCTATGATCTAGTTACAATTTCTGTCCAATATAGCTGAATGGCAAAAGTTATAGGTTCATCGTGTCAAGTTAGCAAGATATAGTACAAATGATCGGGGTCTGCTTGTTTGCTAGGTATCCCACAAGCTTTCATGTTAAAAATTGTCTTACTGGTCTGTCTAGAATGTTCACTTTTAAGCAAGGTCCTTGTGATTCATAATCTATGTATGATTACATTAATATCTTGACTTTGACAAAAGCTTTGCTCACAGATTCTGGTGGTGTCTTCCCTTTATTGAAATCTCATTCCTAACAATTTTCTGCTGTGGTGAGAGGGCTGCTAAAATAATTTTTTTTTAATCTCATCCTCGCCATAAAAATATTTCTTCCCTCCTTTCCACCGTTTGTGTATGCACTGGCTGATTCTGTATCCTCCATGGTTTTAATGTCCATCTCAGCTCTCTTTGTCTTTACGCTGAGTTTATTTCCTGCAAGTTCTCCCAAACCTGCCTTGGCAAAAATGCTCCTACTGCTACTGAAAGGCCACCTCCTTGAAGCCATCTCTTGTAGCTCTTTAATTTCCCAAGTTCTGTAAACAAGGCCCTTTTGGCCCATTTTGAATTCTATCACTCTCCACTCCATTTCCAGCTCACTTCTTTCAGCAACAGTACATGGAAATAAAATTCTTCCATCGAGTCACTTAGAACTGGATTCTCAAACTTCCAGGCTATCTCATCTTTGACTCTTCATTTGATGTATATCTTCAGCTGTCGGTTGAACTAGTGTCTCTTCTGCTCATCATTTCCCTTGGTCCAAATCCTTCTGTATAACCCATGCTGGTTCCCAGAATTTAATCAACTCCACACTCTCAAGTTTAGATTTGTGTATCTGGCACAGGAGTTGACCTGTAGGATCCAGTGCGCACTGTTGGGACATTTCTCAGCCTAAACACCTGATATCCAAGATACATTAGAGAGTAAAGATAAATCAATCTTCTTTTCTCTAATACTACTGGTTTTCTTAAACCCCTCTGCCATGTCTCTTCACCCTTGTCTTTTAACAAAGTGCAAGTAACTTGTGATCTTAGTTGCAAGATATAATCCCACCTGTTCAGCTACATCTGCTGTTTCTCCTTCCCCACACTAATCTAGACCTCTTTCCCCAGTTTCCTCAATGCTCTTGATCAAATCTTACAACCTTCTCAGGTTTCTCTTCTCTTCCCTGAGCCCCTTCTTAGTTCATTTTGCCTCTGCTCTTCACCCAATCCTAACAAATTGCAAAGGACCTGATATATTTTACTGGCTCCCATGTTAGCTGCTATTATAAATAATCCTGCTCTTCATCTGCACTTTCCATTCCTTTCAAAGTTTCTGCTCATTACCATCACCTCAAATCGCCATTCTCTATCCCATTGTTCTTGCAACATACCACCTTGTTACAAATTGTTTCTTCTCTGAAGTCCTTGGCAATATGTCTCCTAAATCAATGTTCATCTTCCACCTGCATGCATGATGACTAAACCACACTGCACTTCTCCACTTCCTGTCTTAGCCTCTCCCTTTCTAGACATTTGAGCCATGTTAAACATTGAAAAGGTTGTGGTAGGATCATCTTTAGCTCACAATAAACACTCCATTTCCTGCCAGTTTCATCTGTTTTCCTGGTCTCTATCTTGGGCTGATACTGAATTTTTGCTTCATTGTCATTATATGAGCAAGAAGCCAATTCCAACCACATAACATCTCTCTCTCTCAAAAATTGCTTGTTACAATCTCTGAAACATTGCCTCACTACACCTTGTGGAATACTTTTCCATGCCAGACTTTCACTATCCCTATGTTCTCATCACCAATCTCCCATTCTCGAAATTTGAGCTCGTCCAAGCTTCAGCTGCTTGTATCCTATTCTGCAGCATGTCCTTCTTACCCCGAATTAGCTCAACCATGTTTTATCCTGCCACCTAGCCAGTCCAGTTTCCATGTTGGGGTCTTGCCAAATCTGAAATATTAAAATGGGTCATCCAGAAAAAGCTTTGGGTCGCATTACTGTAAGTTGTGCAGCTGGCCACCAATCTGAGTCTCTCCGCAGGCCGGAAATTGTCCATAAAATTAGTAAAAGACATTACACCTGATCTTGTTGACATGTTGGCTGCCTGCTCCTTAAGGCTTCCAGTTAAAATTCTTATCACTGCATTTAAGCCATTTCATGACATCATCACCCCCATCTCTACAATTTCTTCTAGTCATCCAGTTGATGTACCACTGTTGGTGGCTGTGTTTTCGACTGTGTTGGTTCCACTTTCTAAACTTTGGGACCAACACTATTTGCTTCTTTCTCCTTCATGACTCATTAACACCCACCCTTTTCAATATCTCTGATATCTCATTCATATGCTTAGCGTTAATTCACTTCTAATTATTATCTCTGTAAAGTGCCTTGCAATGTTATTCTCTGTTAAAAGCACTGTAGAAATCAAAATTGTTTACTGTGTATTATGCATTACTGTGTTGCATATGATCAGAGGTAATGAAAACGATCGAGGAGGGTGACGTGGATGAGGTGACAAAGAAAAGAATCCACAAAAGCAAAGAGAAGGCCGGTGCACTTTGGCATATCTATGCAGCTAAAGATGCTGAGAAGATCAGAGAGCTGCTCAGAAAGGTGAGCTTCACAGTTGACTTCAATGTGAATGTCTTTTACCAAAGGTGTCATGTTAAGATATGTTTTAATGATTTATTCATTGGATGCGGATGTCATTGGCAAGGCCAGCATGTAGAATTCTTGTGAAGATGCTGGTGAACTGTCATCTTTAACTGCCACTGTCTCTGGGCGCAGAGTTTCCAAAGGAACACTGTTGAATTGCAGCATTGCACCTTACCAACGGTACACACTGCTACTTTGAGCTGGTGCTGGAGAGTAAATGTTTAAGGTGCTGGATGGGATGCCAAACAATAAGATTGCTTTGTCTTGGACAACACTTCATGAATGTGGGAGCTGTGTTCATTCTGCAGCACTGTAGGTGCTCCAGTTCAAAACTAAAGTTTTGAATTCTGTTAATAATCACCTACTGTTTCCAAAATACATTTTAAATTTACGCTTAAATGCAATTGTATTACAATTCTGATATTTTACAAAATTGTTATTTTCTCTGATTTTAATGAAATTGTACATTCATACCTTCCCAACCCAAATTTGTTGACTGTCTCAAGTATTATGGCTTTAGTCATTACTGTGTAAATTTCTTTCCTAATCTCTTTCAACATGCTAAAATGCTTGCCTACTGGCCCAGGATAGCTTTTGTTTTCAGTTCCTTTAGATGAATCTCTTTCTGCCATGCACAAATTGCTCAGTATGTTCAATTTACTACAGTAATGGATCCCAACTTTAATATTAATCTATTTAGTGAATATTTCTCGGGTGTACTGTATTTTGATTTTTTTTCGTTCTTCAACCTTACAGCTACTTTTATCTTTTAGGATTCTAACTTGCGTAACAGTAAATGAATAGCTCTATTACTATTGAAAATACATCTTATTACACTTGTCTTTTGCTATCTTGAGCCCTTCTTGCACATGCAAAATATCTTACCTGTTCTCATAAATAATTAGTATAGTTTTATTCTACAATTTCAATACTCATCTTTAGGGAATAACATTGTTATGCTTCTATCTATTACTAATAGACATATACACATCTTCCATTTCTAGCATTATAGTTTATAAGTGCCTCTTTTTCCCCAGCAGATATTCCAGCAAAACATTATTATGATTTACCCTTCATTTCTTTGGTTCCTTAAAATAACGTTTTTGTCTTGGCACTTTGCAATATTCTCACCCTTTGTAACCTGTGGATTCTGTTATCCAATATTTCCCCAAGTTGTAAATTATGAATGCCAAGCTAATTGCTTGCAAGAACCAGATGTAGTTATAATTATTGGGCCTTTGGCAAGTTTTGTCAAAAGTGACTTGCACTATATTGAAGTGGAATGCATCATAATCCTGAGGACTACAGGTGGCTGCTCTCTTTGAAGAGAGATGATTGGTGGTGAGTTTAGCCCAAGAGTCAACATACCACAGTCAAGGAAAGAGGGTAAGAAAGCAGTGTTTTCATAGTGACCTCAACTAGTACAGGAATTGTGCTACTTGTGCATTGTAAACCAGCCACCCAGCCAACTGAGCTAACTGACGCTCATTAACAAGTTAAATCGACATTTACCTTTTTAATGGGCAATTTCCAGTTTATTTTGGATTGATTGTCTCACCTCTTTAAATTATTGCATTCTCATCCCTGTCTGTTCTTCACTCCAAAGCCCAGAACTGGAAGAGGTATTTTCAAATAATTTTTTTATTTCATGATGCCGATCCAAAGGATTGTATGAAATGTATAACAATGAACAATCATGTTTAGAATATATATTTCAAAACTCTTTAAAGAGAAAAGTTCACGCATGCTTTTCATAATGATGTGACTTTCTCTTCATCACGTTGATGAGCATCCAGTAGTTATACATTTGTGCGCCTTTGTACAGTAGTTTTATGCTCTTCATAGTCAAAGTAGTGATGATAGGACTATCATATATAGATGCAGAAGACTGCTCTATGTCTTCTGAGGCTTTACTAGATTGGGTTCCTTATCTGTATACCTGGGAGAAGTCAGTGATTGTGTTTCTGTTTTCCATCAACCTGCCCTACAGGATGATTCTGATCAGCCAGATAGATTAATTTACTTAGTTTTAGTCCTTTAAGGTAGCAATACTTCTTCTAAAGTTCACGTTTATTAAGTAACAATTCCTCCAGTTACGATCCATTTCCTATTTCCAGTGTTTTCAACACAGTTGTTCCTTTGCCTGTGGAGAATCTTGAACTGTGTGGTGATTTGTCTAAATGTAAAGAGATTAATTCTTGAAAGACGTTTTTATTCTTTGTTTTGGTTTACCATTCTCACTTTCAGGTTACTATTTCACGATTGTATGTTGAGATGTATTTGTATCAATTGAACACTGTTGTGACCATAAGACATAGGAGCAAAAGTAGGTTGTTCAGTCTATCCATTCTACTCCATCATTAGCAAGATCTTGGCTGATCTGAGAGCCTTAACTCCACTTTCCTGCCTTTTCCCCCATGATTCTTGATTTCTGTACTGATTAAAAATCTATCTCGACCTTAAATATATTTAATAACACGGTCTCTACAGCCTTCTGTGGTAAGGAATTCCAGAGAATTCACTAGCCTCTGAGGGAAGAAACTCCTCCTGATCTCTTTGCTTCTGGCTCAGGTGTCTGAAGAGCAAGGTCAAGATAACCCACCAGATCATGATCCGATCCATGACCAGAGCTGGTACCTAGACCAAATGCTGCGGAAACGACTGTATGAGGAGTATGGTGTGCAGGGCTGGGCCATTGTACAATTCCTGGGGGATGCTGTCTTCATCCCAGCAGGAGCACCTCACCAGGTAAGGTTTGGTTCCCATATTTTAAAGGAAGAAAACAAACCCCATTGTTGCGCAAGGTGTGAACGATACTAAAGATTAATTTAAAGAACAAACTTGCATTTATATAATGCATTTCGCAACTGAGTTGCAAAAAGAAGCTTTAATTAGTCAGAAGAAAAATAAACATAACATGAAATGTCAAATACTTATTTATTATATCAGTGATATTCTTCCAGTTATAATTTTACCTGGAATATCTTGCTGGAAAATAACCTAGGTAAAGGTATTTTTGCTATTAGAATTACTTTTCTGTTTCTCTATCAGGATGGGTTGATACATAATGGTAATCTCACTGTAGAGTTGCAATTAAAATGCACTTTTGGTCACTTTTAAGGTCAGCTTATTCGTTATCCTGCTTCCTTCTATTCCTGTCAATGATGTATGAAATAAGCGGGGTCAGAATCTGATGTAATAGCTGGACTTCTTTGCTTCAGGTTCACAATCTGTACAGCTGTATCAAAGTAGCTGAAGACTTTGTCTCTCCAGAACATGTCAAACACTGCTTCCGTCTTACTCAGGAATTCAGGCACCTCTCAAACACTCACACCAACCATGAAGATAAATTGCAGGTACGGCATTAAGAGGAACTTCCAGTGACTAAAAAACTTTATTTGATCTCAAGAATATTCCCACTTGCGAAAAAATAAATACATCTTAAAGTTCCAGCAGTAAGGAAATAACTGGATCTCAACAAATTTGGTCTTTGCCTTGGTGAGTGACAGCAATGTGATCCAGTGAAGTTGAATAGTACATTCCAATTCCTGTCGGCTTTTCTAGAGTTGTCACAAAGTGTTATTTGGTGATACCCACAGTCATTTACAGAATTAGTTTGAACAGCAACCAAGACCTGATGTGATTGAATGCTGAATGGCAAAATGGACCATCACTGACCAAAGTGCTTACATAGGATAAACCCATGGGGAAGAAAATGTAAAAATACTCTGTAATCCGACCATATAAATAGTAAGAGTTGCCTTTGCTTGCTTTCTCTTCCACAGCTGTTCTAATGCATTTGTTTATTTTGACTTCTTCATTGTGTGAATTGTGGGTTAACCTGATGTTACGTGTCCTTAGGTGAAGAACATTATCTACCATGCTGTCAAAGATGCAGTTGGAACACTGAAAGCTGAAGAACCTAGACTGGCCAAGTCATAGAAGCACCTGTAATGGAAATCCAGACTCAGAGGAACTGTTCTGTAACATACGCTCATTAAGAAGTACATGCAATTAAAAATGGAAAGGCTGTTTTGGTTGGAGATAAGATGTTCATTAAAAGTCCAGTAACACAATGGAATATAGTATCAGTTTTGCTGTGTTCTGCAGCAAGCTGTAGGAACAGCAGATTTGGGAGAGTTTCACGTTGTAGTTAGTTTCGCACTGAGTTAGTGATTATATTTAAAATAAAATTCAATCCCTTTCCCCTTAATTTTTCCATATTCATACGACGTGTTGGGGTAATGAAAAAGGATCTTGTAGATGTAGCAAAGCCCACAGTTATAACATACTCATGTTCCCAGAAGGCGGAACAAGTTTGGAAGGACAGCAAAGTCTTTTTGTTGGCTCACATTCATTATGATCCACTGATTCCTAATTTTATATACGTGTAATTTTTCTTAAAGGCCTTTACAACATTCCAGACACTCAGAGGTTCTGAACTGTTTCTGTATGGTGCCTGGGTACCCATAGAGTGGCAACCAGACCTCACTGGAATCATAAACCAGCTGCTGAATCAGGTCAAAAAATATGGGTTAACATGTTACAGTTTATAGTTTAGAATGATCTCTGGATCATTCTTCTTCCATCCCCTCCAAGCCCCAGTCACAAATCAAGGTGGCAGAGGGAATTGGATTTCTGGTTAGGTCTGTGGATATTAAGGTTTCAGAAATATGGAACTGTTTAAAAATAATCTTGTTTCTGTTTTATTTTCCAAGTTGGACTTTTGTGTCTCGACTTCGTATATTTAAAAAGAACAGAAGTTATTTTACTAAACAAAAGAGTAATCCCTTCCAAACAAAATCTCTGACCTGCCTGCTGCAGTTTGCTGCCTTCAGCTGGAAATTATAAATAATGCTCCTTCTGACAAGGACGAAATGGAAGTATCAAAATTTTCTCTCCTATTGCTTTTGGCTGCAGGAATGCTGCATCAAGCAGCCTAGAGAATCCAACCCTGTTGCAGAGAATTGATGCCATGTGCATTCCTTGCTTGTCTATTGACATTTAACTTAGGGTAGACCAGAGAAATACCAGTTTAACAGTTGGACACAATGCATTGTAAACCAGGCAGTAAGAAATGGATTGGGTTTCATCTGTGCCAAGCCTTGCTTTACTGAGTCTTTCAGTGAAAAAGCAAAATATCAGTGCCCATGCTGCAGTCAGCAGGGCAGTACAAGTATTTTCTTTGAACTGAATTTAAGCTGTTGTGGGCAAGTGTTGAGCACATTCTAACTGGCTGAAAATATTTTGCAACCCACCTGCGCCCCCCTCAATATTTCATTGCAGTCCTTGAGTCTTTCATTGTTTGATATCAGAACCATGAAGTAAATAGAATAACAGGGGTGTATTGATGCATTTTGAATCTTACAGAGCAAAACTTAGCATTAAATTTTTTAACTTTACCTCTGAGCATCACAGCAGTCTCATGCTGAACCATGAGGACTTAAGGGCTTAATGTTCAAATATTGGGTGACTTATATTAATAATACTGGCTAATCATATCAGGACTCTTCTTTATCCATGCCTTCCAGAGAAACGGTGAAAGGTTGATTATGGATGTACAGTCCATGAAATGCTTCCAAGCCATGTGCTGATCTGATGATTCTTGTAACACTGGTAGTCATCAAATGTTCAGTTTTGCTCTAAGTAGTCTTAAAATATTCTCCAAACAGTTTTTTTTTCCCCAAGGAGATGTTGAAGAGCGTGAGGCATGTGTTGGCATTTTTTTAGGACTCTTGTGTTGGAATTCACCTGTGTGGAGTTACAGTGCTGAAAATTCTTTTACTAGGCATAAAGATCTATTTTTTTGTGAATGAACGGTTAGATCACAGGATTACAAGTTCTTAAATGACTGTGATGCTTGCTGTGATTCAAGAGTGTCTAAATGGTTTCATACCAGCAAGTTAATAGTTTTGTTTTAATGTTGATATTTTCCATGTTGCATTATCAGTGAAGAAACTGTTCCAGGAACGTTCTGTTGGATAGAATGGTGGAAGCTACTTTGGCCTGGTTGGAGCAATGTAGTAGAGCCAGGGTACGGGAAGGTGGTTGACCCTCATGAGGAAGGTGGGTGCTCTTGAGTATATAAATCAAATCACCCGAACAGCCCAACGGATTGGGATTATTCACAGATCTTTGTAATTTTGCCATGTAACGTTTAAAACTGTTTACAGGTATGCATCATTCCTGTTAGGAGAATTGCCTTCTGTTTGATCTCAGATTTGTGGATGTTGGGGATTGGGGTGCACCTAATTATTTTGAGTCCAGTCTTGCGACCGTACGGTTTTGCCCTCCTGCCCTCGTTTTCAATCATTGGCTTATTGTATTGCTGTGTGCAATGGGACACCAATCAGAACTGTATCCACATGACGATTATCCTTCACACCCACATGGGAGTCTTGAACCTGATTATAGGGCAAGTTGTTAGGGGCATAACTTTTTTTTTCAACCACCTGCAAATTCCACCGGAAAAGTTAGTTTCCTTAAACTGTTGAAAGTGGTGCCTTTGCCCTTATGCTCTACACTTAGTGGATAAATAATCCGATGGCCAGGGAGACTCAGTAGTATCGCAAGGTTTGCATTATTTACAAGAGTGCGTGAGAAGTAACTATGAATTTGTAAATCTTTGTTTAAAATAATAAACACACTGATATAGGTTTTACTAACCTGTTGCATTTTCCAGTGTATTTCATGCAGATTGTTTTAGACATTTATATATACACTTTGGATAATGATTTGTGTAGAGGCACTCTTTGCCATAACACTGCAGTTCTTAAAAAAAAACTTTGGATTTTAAAGCAAACACGAAGGCAAAATGTGGACATTATCCTTGATATAAGCTTTAAGCAAATGACAGACTTCCAGCATTTGGCATTCGGGCAGATTTGGCAGTAACCCCCAATTTTATTTTCCAAACAGACTGCTTCCAAGATTCAGTATTTAAAACCAAAACTATCTCTAGGAGTGTGTTTTTTTTTGTTTGGGCAGGTACCAAGGTACCATTCGTAAATCCAATGTTTTGTTGATATGTATGCTGTTGTGACTTTTTAATAAAAGGATAAAATGAAGAAAAAAAATACTGTCACATAATGTAGAATACTTTGTCTTCATTTACTGCAAGCATTTTGTGAAGGGCTGATTTAGGTTTCAATATTCTTATTAAAATTCAAAGAAATAACTTTGTGTATAGAGTCATTTATTTAAAACTCACCGATTGAGGACTGTGTCCAGCAGTGTATTTGGGCTCAAAAACAAAGTTGCTGGAAAAGCTCAGCAGGTCTGGCAGCATCTGTGGAGGAGAAAACAGAGTTAATGTTTTGGGTCCGGTGACCCTTCCTCAGAACTGGAGCAGTGTATACTCAGTGTATACCCAAATAGTCAGTGTATTTGGGCTTCCTAGCAATTGATCCAGGTCAATTCCAATGTGAACCCAGCATCAGGAAGTGTATATATATCTTACCCTTAACATCTCCATGTATCCACAAGTGCATTTTGACAGCCAGAGTGTGCAGATTGAAGGCAGGATGTCATGATCAAACAATCATATACTTATCTAGCACACAGAGGCAGTACAGCCTATTCCTTTCTTGTGATGATCTAATTTATCTGTTCAGTCTCATCCTCCTGTCTGTTAAAATTTGTTCTATTTTCTTGTAGAACATATTATGGGTTCTGCTTTCATCAGTGTTTCTTACGCTGTATCTTATTTCCTAACAAGCCCTTCTATAATATAAAAGAATCTCCTAACGCCTGCTTCTGTTACTTTCATGGTGATCTTATCTAGAGGACAGGAATTTACTTGCACGGAGATAGATTTTCTCAGTTTGTCCTTTGAGCCTTCTATTTCACAATTCTTCCCAAACACACTTTTTGAGACCCTTGACAGATCTGACCCGCCTTCTGTTGGAATGAATGTAAATTCATCCCTGATCTCCTGGCAGTGTCTGTTCTGTACAATACATGGACTTGAAATCCTTCCTAAAACTGGACACAATATTTGAACCGTTGTTTAGGGAACATACTGCGCATCTCTATTGATAACATCGCCACACTCATGCCTTTTTTAAAAGTATTGGTAATATTCTTTGCATCTGAATTCCACCAGATTTGTAAGTTTCTCAGAGATAGCAGGAATTTTCAATCTGTTTGTTGCAGTGTTCATAGTTAGCTGCAACCCCGGGAAAAAGTGCATCAGGTTGATATCTAAAAACTCATGGGCTAATTTGCTGATGACCCAAAATCAGGCAGCATTGTAGACAGTGTGGGTGATAGCATAAAACTACAAAGGAATATTTATAGACTAGGTGAATGGGCTGAACTGTGGTAGATGGAATGTAAGCCAGTGTGAGGTTATCCATTTTGGACAAGGAAAGGATAGGTCAGGGTACTTTCTAGATGGTATGAAGGTAAATACAGTGGATGTTCCAACCCCTGCATTGATCTTTAAAATTCCACAAACAGGTGCAGAAAGTAATCAAGAAAGCTAATGGAACGCTGCCTTTTATATCTTGAGGACTGGAGTACTGAGAGTGGGCCTATTGGCCTTGGAGGGAGTACAGTGTAGGTTTTCAAGACGGAGTTAGGTTATGAGGAGCAATTACACAAATTAGGCCTGTTTTCTGTAGTTTTTAGAAAGTTAAGGGATGATCTGATCAAGGTTTTCAAGATATTAAAAGGTAAAAGACAGTGAAAGAAAAACAAATTCCACAGGTTGGGGATTTTAGAACATGGGGGCATAGACTGAGAATTAGGGCCAGACCATTCAGGAAAGATGTCAGTAGGTGCCTCTACACACACAGGATGGTAGATGTTTAGAACTTTCTTCCACAAATGGCAGTAGATTGTTGATTTTAAACCTGGATACATTTTTATTAAGGGATATGGGCCTAGAGCAAGTATATGGAGTTAGACCACAGCTATGATGTCATTGAATGGTGGAACAGGCTTGAGGGGCTGAATGGCCAACTGCTCTTCCTAAATGTCTTATGTGTGGAGTCTTAAGAACTGGAGCATAAGTTCAATTAGGAAAAAGAGGAAAATATTAATTTTAAAACCCAAACTGGAATCACAAGTCTAAAATATAGCAATTTACCTCAACCAAATAATAGATGACAGCATTTACATATTAAATTAATGGTTGTGTAGAAGATATGTAAGGGCGAGGCCTGGCAACATTGGAGAGATGGAATGTATGGAGTTTAAGAATGAATTTGAAACAAGATTGAAAATGATGTGATATAAGTCAGTGTGGGATTCCTGGGGGAAAGGAGATAGTTTTGAAGCTTGGGTTCTCTTTTGTTAAAACAATGTTCTGTGACTCAGAACAACTAAGTATGAATGAAAGGCTGAACATAAAGTTGCAGGTTCCTTAATGTTATGCTTGTTGATGAGAAGAGAAAATACTTGCATGTTTATGTCTCAAAACAATCCATAACGTGCTTTTATTGCAATGTATTCATTGTCATGATATAGGAAGCATGAGAGTGGATTTGTGCAGAGTAAGCTCCCACACATACAATGTGATAAATGACCAGATAATTTGTGATTGAGATAAATACTGACCAGGACATTCCTCTACCCTTCAAAATGGCCCCCTGGAATCTTTTGCATCCATCTGAGAGGGTAAACAGAATCTGTGTTTAAAGTCTTACCTAGAAGGTGGTTCCTGTGATGGTACAGTGCTCCATACCGAAAGGTGCTATACCAGTATCCTACCCAAGTGCTGGCCTTGGTTTTTGTACTTAAATTCTGGAGTGCAGATCTTGAACCTGGAACCTTGTGAGTTAGGAGTAAGAATGATAACCAAGTAAGAGTAATAGCAACAGAGGCTGAAATCATATAGAAGTGTTCAGCAAAATATTTGCCTAATCTACATTTGCTTTCCCCTCCTTGAACTAATATAGGTAGTACTTATACCGTAGGTAAGAGACATATACTACAACTCAGAGGTAGTGCTTGAAACTTAGGATGTGATGTGATTTCTTCAACTGGAGTGAAAGGAGCACATTGATATTGATGGGAGTCGTTAGGACATTTCAGGCAGGGATTGAGAAGAACAAAGCAGTACATGGGTGACATTGTACCTGCAATGCATGTCATTGGAGACCCTATTGCCAGTCAAGTTGAGAAAGGGAATGGAGATGTCTGATGGACCTTGTGAAAATCGGATGCATTAATGAAATTCTCAAGATCATAATGATCAAGAAGCAGCAGATACAGCCATCAAAATAATCAGAGGCAGTCTGAGCAGTACTGATATGAAGGTGGGCCAGGCTTTGTAAGGAGCATTCCACAACTCAAAAAGATAGGTTTAAATGGGATCCAGAGGCTTCTGATGACAACACTATTTGGAAGCAATGATCAAGAGTTATTCAAAGAGAAAACAAGTTCAGGCAGAGGAATCTGTTGGTGAATTAAAAACTGGTTGGGCCGCATGTTCCAACAATGGTGAGCATCGGAGGTGTAATAGGACTACACCCAAAGTGGAAAGGTGTTTATTGGATCAATGTAACAGCAGTTGGAGGAGTTGTTGAACGAGGTGAATAGATGTTGGATAAAGAGGGAGAAAAATCCTTTTTTAAAAAAATGCTCTTGTTTTTCTCTGTTTGCTGTTGTCCCACTGAATCATTAGTTTGTCAGATGAGTCCTGTTTTATTATTGGGCAGAAATGGAAAGGGCTGTGTGCAGTTGGAGGCAATGAGCAGAAAACTCCAATCCTTGAAGCACTGCTGTCCTCTAATAACTCTTAGATAATTATCTATCCATTATTATTCCTTAATAATGCACGTCTTTATTTTATCAACAAGCTACCTCAACAGTATCTTATTGTTTAGAAATTCCATGTACTGTACACCATATGGGTGAGACATAGCTTATGTGATACATAAACACCAGCATGGGCTAGTTGTGCCAAAAAAACTCTTGTATTCACCTGACGAAGGAGCAGCACTCCGAAAGATCGTGATTTCAAGTAAACCTGTTGGACTTCTGACTTTCCCCACCCCGGTCCACCTCTACATCATGGCTGAATTTGTCGAATATAACTTGTCGTTTACAAGCCTGTCTTGGTGGATGGGGGTCGTTGTCCCTACACAGGCTGTGAAGTCTGTCATTAGTACTGTCAAAAGGACAAACCGCTCTTGTTACAGCAATGAAAGGAGTCCTCATGGCCCATCAGACCATTGGTCAGTGTGTGACTGCTCCCATTATGAACTAAAAGAAGAATGAGAAAAACCAACAAACCATATTAGTCAGATATTTGCAGCACTAACTATTCTTGTAGAGGGCATTGGACATAGTCTTTTACAACAAATTCCAACTGTCTTGTTAATGTTACTCCTGCCTCAGTATCTCAGGAATGTGATCATAATTAATTGTTTACAAACATCAGACAGCTTTAAACTCCAGTTGATAATGGTATTTATACATATTTTATAATTTAGTTGTCATATTTTTCTCAAGATTTCATTTCTGACTGCTTCCCCCCTCAAAAACTGTTCAGCGCTTCTAGATAGACTCCTTGAACATGGACAATTATTGAGCCTTGAAGCTCTCATAGCTGTCTCAGCTCTTTGGAAGGGCCATCCAATTAGTTCTGCTTTCCTGCTCCCTCTCAATTGCCCTGAATTTTTCTTTTCTCTGTCTATTTATCTAATTCGCTTTTGAA